GTGCATGGTTTTTTTTTACAAATAAGAATATGCTTTTGACATGACAGGCCTAGTCTTTGAAGCTGATGATGTCATTATCTTGCTTTAATGCATTCACTTTGGTCTAAATGATATATTATATTTTATAAGAATTTTTTTTCCACAAATGTTCTTTGGAAATATTCCCCTCCAAACTAAGTATAACAGCTATGTCTCATATACAGGGCAAAAAGCATAAAGAAATAGCTTTTTAATCAGGTGTCATTAAGCAAGGAGATGAATATTTCAATGCACACAGCGACCTCCTCGCGCATTACTTCCAGACCTATGGATGGTGTGGTACACAGGCGAGTACCTCTGCCCCTATACTCAATTACGTTAGAACCCGTCGGTAGACATCGTCGAAGACCACAAGCGGTATGGTCCACAGGCGAGCCTTTCCATACTATGTACAGTCACTGAACAATTTACAGGTGGGTTTTCCTCTGGCACACAGATTGTGTGGTTCTTTCCATTGAATGCACAGTTAGAGAACAATCGACCAGTGAATTCTCCCTAGGTGTACAGACAACGCGACCAGCGAGTGGGTACCTGCATCCTATGTTATAGTTACAGAAAAACCCACCGATGAATTTCTCCAAAGCCGATGTGGCTTACTGACGTATATCCGTGTCCTGGGTATAATTACAGAAAGATCCGCTGGTAGAACACCCAGGCACAAGCACGTTACTCAACGCAATTAATGCAATTTTCAAATAAAAGTTTTAATTTAAAAGCAATTTTCTTATAAATTTGTCTGTGCCCCCTTAAAAGCTGCCATCAACAAGACTGACTGATTGCCTGTCTTGCTCTTCTCCTGGCACTCTTATTTATACCCTTGCTCATTCCTCCAGGTTGTCATTCAAGCAGGGAGTGATGAAAAAAAAACAACTTAAAATGAGAATTACCACCTAGAAGAAGAAGCAGGAGTATTTATTCTTAGTCCCTTAATGCGGAAAGACATATTAAAACAAAACCTGAATACAGCCACTCGTATGTTTACGCACACACACACGCGCGCACATACAAACACACACGGTCACATGTGCCTGCACATTAAGTGCAATATATTGCTTCTTTACACATAATCAATCCACAGGGTAAGTGAGGCACAACAATTGTGTGTCGGCAAGTGTTAACGACATTTCGTTCAATGTACAGTTCTACGTCCGAGCTACAGACTTTGCAGCTACCATTTTCATCACATACATTGAGGTATTTATTGATTTGTTTATGTTTACAAGAAGCCCTAGGCAGAGACCCCCACTCCTTCCCCTCCAGTGCCTCACAAAAAGTCATGGTTACTCGACAAATCTATACTACAGCTTTTTACACATACATCTATGCCGACTGTCAGAAAACAGTTAACACGTATTTGATATTTATTGTGTTGGTATCAAAGTTATTGCTTCTCTTAAGTCTCCAGTTTCCTTCTACTTTAGGAATGTCTTTTACATATTCTTTCTACCTACACGGCGCAATAACCCAGAAGACAGCAATCTTCAATTTTTATTAAAATACCATTATAAAATCAAAACAAATAATTATCCAGCTACATTAAATCTGAATGGTACCTTTTTCAAAAATACAAAGTAAATTTTATGCACAGAAAATTTTCAATCAAGGTAATTTAAATTTCATACATGTAATAAACATATCAGCGTGTGTACTGAAAAATTTGTGGTTAACTCCTTGTTTAATGTACAGAAAAAGCGCTGAAGAGTTTGGGATGCTTAGAAGTCTGAACCCAGAATTCAGAGGACAAAAATCAATTACGCTTACCCATAAAATCAATAAATTTCAATGAAAGACAGCTATTCATGTTAAAAATTTCATATTAAAATTCTAAAAACATATGATGCCACATTTTTACATTAATCTGCCCCTGATATATCAAGTTCTTAAAACATTTAATTTGACTGAAACCTTCTAGAAAACAATAAATAGAATAAAATCACATGTCAACATCAAATGTTCATGTCTTAATACAAACTGTTCTCAGCTCAGAGAGAATTTTCTTTTGTAATGATATTCATGAAGGCATGTACATATATGCTACATATTAACAAAATTAAGATGTATTTTATAAAGTGTTACTCTTCTGTATTTTGTCCATACAGCATTCATAGAGAAGGGAAATTTGATGCACAATGGTAAATTTGTAATAGTATCTTTCACTATATATATACTGTTGGTTTGATACACCACAAATCATATAATGTATAATTCAATAAAGAACATTTACTAAAACATAAGTACTGTGCATTCTGATTTATATCTTATAACAATTTAGTTTAGGAATCTGTAACCTGTTTCAGAAAAATAATTTTGAAATATTAATATGTAACACAGTACTGGGTAATAGATTTTCTTTCAGTAACTTTCTACAACAGTGTTTTGGAACTAATAGTTTGATATAGACATTTTCTCAATAAGATACCATTACTAGGTAAATACTATCATCTGACTACTTCATGGATCTATAAAATGTAATAAAGATGCATACCTGAGTTAAAATATGGCTGGCAGTCCAGTACTTTGAATACCCTCTTCCTGTATGATAACAGGTTAATAATACCAACATAACCTCATCTAGTGTAAAATACAAAATTTACCTTTCCCATTTACATGCCTCCATAACACCAACATAACTTCATCTAGTGTAAAAAAAATTTACCTTTCCTATTTACATGCCTCCATACTTATGGTCAATTTTGGCATGAAGGAAGATTATCACACTGTAAAACTATTTTGTGGCCTCTACATCAAATTTATTTGCAAAATATAATTCATTATTTCACATAACAGAGATATGTTTAATTTTGGATAATGTAAACAGTTTTCCTGGCAATCAGGTATATTGTAATTAAAATTTACCTTTGTAGCTTATGTTATGTAACTGTTACTTTACTACTAAAAATGATTGTTTCTAACATGTAAGCAGATCTGCCACTCTATGCAAGTACCATACTTTTGCACAAACACATTATTATGAATGCTCTATAGCAAATATAAAGAAGAGTTGCTGTTTTGTTTCAAATTTTAAAAAATATTCACTTTCACCTGAATATTAATTTCTTACTTACTGTTAGAGCTCTATATGAACCATGCCCAGAACACATGAAACAGGACAGCATTAACACATAAACTGTGCCTGAAATGCCAATTCATCAACTGTTCTGGTGTTAATAAAACTCGACGACACAGTCAGTTACCCAGTGTACGTACTTAACACATTCATAATTCTAAATCTATGTCACAACAATGAAACAGTTATCCAACGAAATAAAATTTTTGTTTTAATATATTCACATATTTAGTAGCAAATTGCTTTTTAAAAGTCACATAAATTTCTTGCCAAGATATGGATAATGATATTATTTTTAATCTAAAATAGAAATGATTATTTATTTTTAATCACATATGTACGATTCTGTTTTAAATATTAAAAAAATCATTTGGCATTTCAAAGCTAATTTTGGATCAAAATATTATACTTTTACACATTTTAAGATTATCACACAAAATTTCTTCACCCCTCTGTCTGAACAAATACTAACATTTAATTTTAAGAAATAATTATGGGGTGGAGGGAGGGAGCCTGTCAGGGTGTCCAAGACTAATTTTTCCCACACTCAGGGGATACCTTGTATCAAATTAGCTTAAAAGTTTGGATTAATGTAAGTTTCAGAAAAATGTTAGAGGTATATTTGAAAGCCAGTAACACTGATTGGTTAAGTGACTATCCTCTTGTCAATAAAAGCAAATTAACTTATAAACTACAGACACACTGGATTTTTCAGGTTCTCACGGTAGTTTGTAGGAAGATGGATGTCTTCTGGGTTGTTTCACCACGCAGTCTAACATAAGTTTACTGACATTCCAGAGGTGCTTATGCCTCCGTCATCAGAAATTTTAAACTTCTACTGCACAGTACAACAAACCAGAAGACAAGCCATATTCATACACATAAGTTAGTTAACGCTGTGAACACCTGATGCAGTACCGAACATCACTCCTGCTTCATATTCGGGAAATCCCAGCCCAGAGACTGGCTAACTTGACTGACGTTTTTCATGGTTTACCTCAGTCATTACATGAAAATGCCAGGTTAGTATCTTAAATTAGGCCATGACTGCGACCTTCCACATCCTTTCCAATTCACTATCATACTCTAATTAGACACAGTACAGTCTGAGCTACTGAAAGTGTTTTGTTAAATAAATTACAAAAAAAAAAAAAATCTGCTACAGTAGGTAGGGCCTCCCTAGCCAGATTGGTCGAGGGGGGGAGGTCAGACTAAGACAGGTACCCTGGTCCTCCAGGTTGGGGGTTGGTCGCAAGGCTAACAACCTTGCAACGTAAAAAGGAAGATGTGAATTGAGGAGGCCATGGACCAAATACGGACCGGAGAGCCATAGAAGAAGAAGAACAGTAGTATCTGTGCAAGAGACTCAAATTCCTTGTTCCATTCAATTAGCGTAAATCTTAATTCAAATGGATACGAACAATCCTTAGTTTTTGCCAATTTCTACAGATTTTGATTTGCTCACTGATCATATATTTCCGTATACTTTCACCAAGATTTATTTATATTAGAATGATCCTATACAGCTGCATTTAAAGTCTGTTTAAGTGTCCTTGATCAACTCTGTTTCTGTTCTGTCCAAGCAAAATTTACTAATAGATACTACTAATTAGCCCACATCTTAAACACTTAATCAGGCTGAATTTTCAGTCTTAAGTGTATATATCATTTGGTCAGTAGAATTCCGTCAACCTGCACCAAGATATATTTCATCTGCGGTTACACGCGAGTCCTGCCAATTATTTGTATTCAGGAGAATTGGAAAAGGAGAGGAACATATTACGATCTTATTACCAGACTGCTATTTTTATGTGATAATTCGAGCACATCCTCACTATAAAGCACTATAAATTCTGATAGGTATGAAGTCAGTTAATATTACATTTTAAAACCATTAATTCAATAATTTACTTCCTGTCTTATATATTCTCTGTATATCAACAAGGAACGTATTTGTTCCTCCACACATTTCATACAATTCTGTACAATACAGGTATCAAATACGTGAAACACGTGACATCAAATATATGACGGAACTTAACGAGGTCTGAGGGTATGGTGCAATGAAATTAAACAGAACACAAGAAGTATCTATTGTAAAATTATCCAGGATTTAAGAAAAGTTTCATCAAGGCAGTTTAAATGTTTGACGGACGGAAGGGTATGTGCCTGAGTTGAATATATGTTCAGATTTGGACCTGTGTTCAGTGGCTGTGTATGGTAACCTACTGTTAAATGACTTCCTTCCGCAGATGTGCAAACACTTCATTGGTTTAGTGATTCCTGTCACATTAACTTGACTTCATGTACAATGTACAACAACCTACTCGTAAAACGCATGAATAAATTTCCCTGACACCAAGACAGGCAAATAAATTTAGGGAAATCCACTATAATATACAGTATATGTACATCATAAAGGCTGTCTCTTTTAACAACTGTACACCACAGCCAAAATTAATTTCCTCTGCATAATTTTACAAGCTTCTAAAAACATGAAAATATCCACAAGCAACAGCACCTTACACATTATGAAAGTACAGATCAAAGTCACTGACAGAGATTGTGTTTCTATGAGAGTTCGTTTGAACATCTGCCATAAATTGACACTATGGTAAAATCAGTTGTGCCACAGAATTATATTTCAAAATATAAAAAAAAACAAAAAAAAAAAACAAAACAAATAAAACAACAGATCAGATCTCCATTCAACGTAATGATAAAACAGTACATAAGCTGTAATGTTCAGACAGAATAACCCAATGATTTCAGTTTATTCTCGAGTACTGTTAACTTTTAATCAAAACATGTGATATAGCGGTTAGTGGTTGCCTATCGGGCCACTGAATTCTGGGTAACTACATTTATGCTCTTACAAAATTTATATATTGTAAACAGAAACAAGGAACGCGTACGTCAACTCTGACTACAAACTGTAAAAGCAATTACTGGATAATTAATATCATAAAACAAAAAGATGTACAGATTAAAATCAAGTTTTTAACTTAATTCATAAGACCTCTAATATATATATATATGGTAATTCTGCAGTCTCTTTTCCATCTGTATATTAACAACGTAACACATTTCTTTGTAGGATGTATAAAATTTGACTCTGTCAGTACCGCCGTTGGTTCCCGATATTCCAACCGTATTTTTGGCATCTTACCAAACTACACGAGGACTAGCAATGATATGAAGTTTCCCTCAGTTTTGCACATAAGAATTCTAACATCAACCAAGCATCTAAGCGATGACTTCTATGCAAAACTATTGTCCCATTCTTTGCACACCAATCATTACTCTAACTGAAATTGGTACTAAACCACTGGGACACTACTGATGTGTCTTGTCAACACTGTAACATGCCAGGGATTTCTCTGCTTTCTTTATTTTCGTCGTATTACTTCACGGTTTCCCGTTGTGTTTGTTCCGCTGTTCACGGTTCGTGATAACCAATTTGTATTTTGAGGTTGCCATCTACCCTGCACTTAAAAACTTCAAACCAAATTTAAATGGGAACGATCTATTCTAGTAGCAATGGAGACGAAGGCTCCACGATGCCTGACATGGATGCAGCTGATTCGACTAAAATAAACACATTAAAATAACACAATTAACAACATGGATTACGACAAAATAAACATCCTTTTTTTCCTACGGATGAACACAGAGAGCAAGCTATTTTTGAGTTTTGATCTTACAGTTGAAAGGAACTTTTCAATATAAATAAAATAAGTTAAGAAATTATTTCCCGCCCAGAGTACTATCTTTACACTTTCTTCCTAAAACTGAAAACTAACATTCACATCAATGTTACGACACGAACCCTGGCAAGGATGTTCCATCCTAGCTCTCCTCCGAGACAAGAACATGCATGTTGAGGTACAGTATTGTACTTGGATGTTAAAAAATAAAATAAATAATCCACGTGTCTGACGTACTTTTACGCACTACGACGCTACATATGGTAGGTATCCGACTCATGTCAGGACTAGGTACAGCTTCGGTCGCCGCGAGCCGATGTGACGCCATGACGCTGACACGTATACCTTTAGTCTCGGCTGCCGTCAAATCTGAACACTTGCACCACATTGCAGATTATTTGTTAATGTGTCAGTGAAGTATGTATCTCATTAGGAATCCATAGTGCTATTGATACAGACCTTATGATAAAACAACTATATGTCCTACCAGTTATAAGTTATATGCTTTTTAAATATACACACGATCATTCACTATGCAGTCTTCATAACGCTCTGGCGCACACGTCCACACACACATGTACACATCCAAGCAGTCAAGCACAGAATCTGCAGTTCAGCTATTTGTTGATTGACAATCACTCGCAACATTCTAGCTCAATTAGTTTGCAAATGCTTCTGAGGAGATATGGATTAGAATCTGTATCTGCTTGCTCCAAGGCATTGCATATATCCAGGAAAAAAAAAGAGGGATCCATTTATTCGTTCCCCGACACTGTGGTTTGTAACCGAACATTAAACGCGGGATATGGTAAACACATTGACTGGGGACGGCGTTCATACTATGCGTCAAGCGTTTCCTCCACCACATCTGGGACCATCGAGAGGTCTTCGGCCATCTCGTCTCCTTCTTCCAACTCGTGGCTCTGATCCATCGGCATGCCTACAGAAGCTCCAGGTCCGTAATCTCTTTCTTCACCAACTTCAACTCCTATTCCCTCTGTCTCTTCTCCATCCATTACCTGTTCTAAGACTTCTCGCTTTATCAGGTGCACTAGACCCTCATTCTCAGCTACCAAGGAAGATGGAGGCAGAGGTGGTACAGCTTCCTGTTTGATGTGCATCATGGGTCCTTCAATTGATGATCTGAAACAAAAGCATGCATTCAACAAATATATTAATGTCAATATTTAAATTTTAAAAATTAATTCATGAAGTTACTCAGGTTTAAATTGTGAATTGAACTGCAAAATTGGCGATAAAGGGCAGAAGATCCTGGCTGACACAAGGAGAAGAATGGGGGGAGGGGAGATCCAGAATCTTCTCATGATGACCTTCAGTCAGCTACGTGACCCTTCGAGAAACATATGTTTTTTCTTAATCCCATCTTTCTAAATATTATTTCAGTACAAGTAGAAGTGTTTGCGAAGGCTGTATGAATTTATCACTGTAAAGTACCTGTGGTCTGTGGGTGGAGATGGTACCTTTTCCGGACTGGTCGTTGTCGAGGTGCTCATCGAATTGTTGAGAAAACCTATGTTGCTGTCACCAAGCGCAGCCTGCAACATAACGTATTTGTTCTAGAATATATTATATTATCATACAGATTATCAGATGTTAATCTACTCCGTTGGTTGCGATCTAATTTTTATTGTTACAATTATAAACAAAACAGTTCTGCAAAATACATTGATCACTCTAACATCAAATCTTCTTTAAAAAATTCCAGAGTAAGAAAAGGAAATGGAATAAATTAATGACTATAAAAGAAACTGAATTAACTCCAAGGGTAGAAAATAACCCTCAGACATGAATAAATATTGCACTTATTTCCAAACTCTGACAACTAGGTGATACTGGTTAGTATGAAGCTTTGTTCAACTTACAGCGAAAAGGTTAATACTTCATACAAAGAACATTAATCTTACTAAAAATAATATATTATAATAAGACTATTTGAAGATTGTAGCTGTACGGTAAATAATAAAAGTACTTTACCTCAGAATAATTCTCACATTGGGAATTCTTGAAAAATAAATAAGAATGTATTCAAATAACTGTGTGAAACATACATGCCATTACATACTATGTGCAATTATTGTAATAAGGTTCGGCTATTCACAATACAAAAATTTCATATTTCAAGTAACATGAAATAAATAAAAGCAAAGATTCAATCAGATTTAAAAATGAACAACCACTGCTAACACTTCAAAATGTGTTGTGTATCACAGTATGATAAAGTAGTTGTATCGTCTACACGGCCAAATTATTTGGGACAGTCTAGGAAGCAGTTAAATGACAGAAATCTGTATATTGTGGGTTACCCCCATTATTACAAGTATCAAGGTCACAAAATCTGCAACATTCATACAGAACGCGAACGTTGCAGATCAGGTACGAGAACGCTATAAAGGCAAAAGCAACATACTACCTCCAGACTTTTAAAACTTATTACTGAAACTTTAGTGTTCTATTCCGTTATGCACAAGTTACAAAGAATGATCTTAAGTGACGTAAAAGTTGAGTGTGGCTAGTTAGCAAGGCACAACATTTTTATTTTGTCAGACATGCTAAAAGCTTTGATTTTGTTAAAATTATCAACTGAAGATTTAGTGTAATTTGTATTGCAGAAATTTATTACTATATATTGATACATAAAAACAGACAGGAAATGAATTGTAGTTTGTAAATATTAAATTTCCATTAACTCAGAGTTACATTCATAAGCATTTTAGTATCAGTACTAATTACAGTTTCTGTATTGAGAATTAAATTTTAGTTGAGAGTATTAGAACGACTGATCATGACGGTTAAATGGACATAACTGATGCAAAATGCTGACATTGATTGTGTAATGTACAAAGTGCATTATGTTGTTTTATTTTTTTAAGAACACTAACTAATCATTTTGGATTAATAATCTCTCTATTTTAATTTTAGAATACAATGCCACTTTTAAACATGTTTATATTGATTCTGCTACAAAACTCAAGTATACTTTAAAACGCTGCTGCTATGGGAATCTAGGAACTATAAAAGAAATAATATATGACAACTACTGTCTTAAAAAAAATCTTTTCACATGAAGAATATCACTTTTACCTCGCTCAGTTCTTTCTATCCTCCCTAAAATAAACACCAAACTATTAAACTTGTAACGCTTATTAATAACTTCTCCAAATGACTTCTAATCTTTACTCAAATAAATGTTACAAAACCTGTTCAAGCAGAAATATTAACGTAAAGATGAACAGATTTACCTGATTGTGAAGATGGCTGTCTTTTGAGTTGTTGCGCCGTGTAGTCTGGTAAGCTTCTCCCAGCCAACATGGCGCAACAACCCAGAAGACAGCCATCTTCAGACTCACTGCAGTGAAAACCTCAAATCCTACATTACCTGATGGTGGATGCAGAATCCAACTTCCAAAATACTGTAATTTTACAATATTTATATGGTGGACAACGTCCAAAAGGGAAAAATTAACACAATGTAATGCGTCATAATCAGAAACCTTCAAACTTCAACACGGTAACTAATTTAATTAATACATGAGCCAAGTCACTTCAGGCATTTTAAGACACCTATTCAGAATGGAATATATATATATATATATATATACACACACATACATATAAAATCAACTACAAAAATTGTTAGACAGGTGATGGCTTTGCTAAAAAATCACAAAACCCATGCAACATTAGACACATGCAAAATACAGACATATGTTTATTAGTTTAAAGCGCCATTATAATCCTCATTAATACTGAGTCTTACCTGCAAGCTGGCATTCAATGCGTCTCCATACAAAGTGGGGCTGTGTGTCAGGGTGGGGCTTTTAGACTGGACACCCCTAGTAATTCAAAAAGTAAACATTATTATCAACATTTTTAACCCAGATATGTGATACACATTTTATTCAGTGGATAATCCTGAAAGATAATAAAATGTAACATGAGAATATAATAAAATAGAAAAAGCAGATAAAAACATCAAGATATAGAGAAAAATGGAATAGAAAAAGAGAAAATTATTCAAAGTGTTAACAAACTCACCACCCAACTTGGACGTTCACGAAATGTAGGTATTACGAGACCAAGAGTTAAAAAACAGAACAGATAAAAACATCCTTGTTTCAAATCAATTGGCATAGTTAACCTCACTTTCAATATACTCAAACATAATTTAATATCAATGCTAGTTAATTTCATCATTTCAGAGTATTAATAAGTAACAAATAAAGATGGTACCCTGAAGATTTGAAACAAGAAATATTCAACGCACCAAGTGATCGCAGTACCTGTTCCCAGGTGAGGAAAGCTGCTCCATTCCATGACAGAATTCCTTCTTTTCCATTGGTTTCAATAAGTAGAGAGCACTCAGGCTTACAAATGTTTCAGTCACTTGGTAAACATTGAAAATATTAAACATCAAGAGTGTATAAAATGTAGTAAAAATATGTAAGAAACGTGTAGAAAATACACAAAGGTAATAAAATACAAATACAAGAAATGTAAGAAAGATATAGAAAAACACACAGTAAAAGAGAAAAGAGGAAAAATGCATATTAAATGAGAAAGAAAGAAAGAATATACCTTGTTTATGACGACAGTACCTAACTGCAGTAGTACTTGGTTTTCCCCACGGACACGGTGAATGGTTATTTTCTAATGAAATGGTCTATCTATCTCTTTACAACATCTGCATGGGCACACACAAAAGCCATCAGCTTGACTGATTGAGAATATAATGTGGGGAAAGAACTGTAGATGGATTCCATAAACAATTGTGTCCATGCTGGATCTCCGGAAGAGGATAGCCAAAGGGTTGTGTGTGGCACGACAGGAAGAAGAGGCGCTACTGGTAACGGTGCAGTGCTCGAACTGATCTGTACTTGATAGCTACATGGGTAATCACTCACACAATACTGGATTAGTTCACCCACACTCTCCACACATTACACGAGCATGTACAATGCAAAGCGCCTGAAAGCATGAAACACGTACTTCTGCTTGCAATGCGACTCTTCTGACTTCACTTCTCAACAGTATGCAGTATGTGTTACAAATTCCCATAAGACATATAAATCCAGCTCATCTGTCACGCTACAAATTCTGACATACAAATTTTAAACAAAAATGAGTTTGAAGGTGGCTGTTTGCTGTTGTTGCACCGTGTAGTCTAGCAGTACTGACATTTGAGAGGTGCTTGCTGCCTCTGAAAAGTCGGTAAACTTCTACCGGACTGTACAGCGCAACGACCCAGAAGACAGCCATCTTCATACTTCCTGCTACGAGGACTCGAAATCTTTTAAAAATAAATAAATAAATAAGCTTCGCAACAATACAAATGTATATTCAAAATATTAACCCAGCATTTACTTACTTCCCAAGTGCAGCAGAAATATTTAATTACCTAAATGTGATAATTTTATTAGCCTGTAACAACAAACATTAAATAGAATTTACAAATGTAATTACTCACTTCATACAGCACAAAATATAGTGAACTGGCTGTCATTATTAGAAAGTGTATCAATACCTGATATAAAATACAAAGCTGGAAGCATAGTGTCTGTGGTTTTGTGTGTGTCTTTAATTTTTTAACACTTTAATTCTAAAAATATAATATATAACAAAATTCAATTTAATTAATCCCTTAAATATGATATAAATATGGGCACTGCTATGAATGATATCATTAATTTTATCAATGGGATATCATTTCAAACATATCAAGTAAAGCATTACTGAAAATAATATTTAAATGGCAGTTTCTGTACATAATATAATAAGTTATAACAGAATATTAGGACTTCTCGGTTCAAACACATACTGCAGACATTCCTTAACTTCAATTTTTTACATCTCGAAACATGAGTGAAAGTCTGAAGGGTATACGAGCTGTATAAATGGTTTTCATGTATCCCAGGCAAATCCCCACCTACCAGTAATAATTTTACTTAACCCTACATCTTCTTATGTATTAATTAAATAAAATAATAAGCACACATTTTAACCTTTGGATGACAATAATAGGGTTATTTTGAGCAGGAAAATCAACACTTGTCGAACTGTTACCAATATTATTACATCATTTATTTGTCCATCTCCATTTGTAAATTTTCATCGCTTTCAGTTAAAAATATACGGCAAAATGTTTGAAACAAATTAGCTTGTGCTAATTATCCTGTGAAATGTGTGGACAGTTCATTTCATTTTGTACACAGCGTAAACAACCGTCACTTTATACCAAAGCCGAAGCTGCCGTACGTGATTTCTTGAAAACCGAGGACTCGGTTGTAATTAACGAAGTCACATTAATTTTTAGCAGCCAAAATTCATAAAAAAATTTTATGTTTCAGTTATATTTTCACTCCAAATATTTTTTTTAGATTTTTATGACAAACACAAATGTTCAAGTCGATGCACATTATCAATTATGCTCATTCAAGAATATATATAAAATATTTCACTTCATTATAACGCTTATAATGAAAGTATTTATGTCATCCAAGGGTTTCACTGCACTACTAATCAGCTACATCTTGCCTTATCTCGATTAGCATACCACGGGCAAGGACTTCATCTAAATAAATACTTTTGAATCTTTGGACCCATTTGGACTATTCTCTGCAACTATCAGTTTCAAGAGTGCTTGCTTTGGAGAAGACTCCATGTCCATTCCATTTTCTAACCATGCAGTACAACAACACAAGCACAGAAAATGATACAATGAGAAATATTTATTAAAAGTCACAGATCAGTTATAGTCTTTGTGTATTCAAAAGTTCCTATACAGGAATATTAAACGTTTACGAGATAATAAACGTAATGCCTCCATAAAGCACTGCACCCTACAAAACTACATATCTGATCCCAGTCCTCCAGTCTGAAAAATGCACAACCAAAGCAGATAAGACAGACAGCAAAGAACAGTTGCAACATTTCTTGCAAGGCACGTCCAAGGTAGTGTTCATGTGACGTGTAGGCAGTGTACGCACATGAGGGACAGAAGTGGATGCAAACAATCTGACCCAAACACATTCCGGCAAAGCCACGTTTTCCACTGCGCCTCCATTCCTGTCCCCCTGGAAGCCTGGCATGGCACAAACATCAATCACTAAAGCAACGAGCCGTAGCAGCGTCAGCAGCAGCAAAGTTTCCAAAAAGTCAGTGCTTACTGTGCGGAGAGGTGGGGTGGAGTGGGTGATGGGGTGGGGTCATATTTCCGGGGACGACCACGAGAAAGATGGCGTCGCTTGACAAACTCTGCATCGTCCACCATCCAGAAGGAGCCAAAGTCGTCTTCATAGCGCACAAAACACTTGTGCAGTGACAGATTGGTGCGGATCGCGTTCTGTATACACAGACCACCAAGAAAGAGAAAAGAGAGTAAAAGACAAAGTTTAAGAGAAAAAAAAGTATAGAAAATGGTAAAGTCTCACTTCTAGCCGCCTTCTCAGCAAGACATGTTCGATTTGAAATACCTTCCGTCGCCTGTCCCGTCCACCTTTCTTGCCCCACGCTAAGTTGTTAGTCGTCGGTTAAGTTGCCTCATGCTGGTTACGCACACACAAACATAAGCGAGACAGAAAAAGTGGAAAAACACATATGAAAAACATGTAAATGGAAAAAGATGAGAATGGAAAAAGTGGGAGAGAAAAAAAATTCAAATCCAAATGTTTGCTAGAAGGAGCTAGAGACTGGAGGAGTCCGAGACCAACTTGCGTGTCCGGCTCGGCTGCGATGTGACATACCCGGTGGTGCACCGTTGGGGCCGGCGCTTGTAAAATTCCACTTCGTCCACCGTCCACACGGCACCTTTCACGTTCTCCACCCTCATGAAACATTTGTGGAGAGACAGGTTGTGTCGCACTGCATTCTATACAAAATAATACACATACAAGTAAGCAACGCAAACCAAAAAAACAGGGCAGAATACAAAAACGAGAAAAACTAAAGCTTTGTCAACACAAGTTGGCAAATAAGTGTAGCAGCTACAATTTCTTTCTATTACTGAAGTATAATATCACTAAGTAATGTAAAAGAAGCCAAGACAAAGGGCAATCTATAGTTCCGCATGCATGAAATCTTCATCACTTACAACGCATCTGCTCCATTTATATAAATAAAAAACAAAACGTAAATCATAATAAATCAAATTTCATGCAAGGTGAAGCTCCTTAAAATGCAAATACAATCACTCTAAATACTTTGTAAAGGTGCAGTTCAGTGAAATAATAGAACTAGAAGTGAAGGGTCATGCCAACTATAACAACTTAATTCTAAAAAAAAAACTTTTAACATTCAGATTATTCTCAATTTCAACAGCTCTACATAGACATTAGTCAGAATCTTTCCATGAACAACAGAAACTCTTTCAACATTCAATCTGTTAAAACACTATTTCAAGCAATGCTCTACTCTACAGACAGTCAATAAGAAGTGGAGATGGATTTTTCTCAGTATTTGGTGTCCATCTTGTTGACTTTCAAACACTTTCCTGGAACAATACTAGTCTATACAAAATCATTATTTTTTTCATTCTATCAACAGAAACATCATATGTCACAAAACAGAGAAACAGTTACTTGTTCTAGGTATCCACCTTTAAAGAAAGCAATTTTAATTAGTCAGCTATACATATTTGAATTATTGAAAACAATGATACAACAATACTTTTAAATCGCAGGATACAGTAAAGTGCAATTTATATTTTAAAAATATAAATCTTTTGTAAGAATATGAGTTTTCATAATGGCTGTTTGTCACTTCCAAATGCTTTAAAACAAACTAAAAAATAAAACATAACATAACCTATATTTAAATACTCATGATATTTCCTAAATATAAACTTGAGTGTGTTCTATAAACAATAAATGTTTGCATAAACCTCTTACAGTCAAAATTTTACATAGTTAATTTGGGTTTGTGCCATGTCAAATTGGAGGTTAAGAACTTTTCAAAACTCAATAAATTCTTACCTGGAGGTGGAATTTGCAGTTGAGTCCAAAATGTCCATACATAACCTTCAATTTATCAACAAGCACAAATAATAAAACAGACAACTATATCATTAACAATAGTGGTCTGTTTACTAAGCAATTATGTTTACAGACATGAAATTCAGTTTTTCTTTTCTTTTTCAAATCAGAAGGAGAATAAACCTGATATGAAAGCATGCCTAATAGTTATACAATAAAATTACACCTTCAATTTTTTCTACTGCACTAACAGTGGGAGAGGTTAACTCAATACTTGTCTGTCCACGGAAAAACAACATTAAAATGTTTATACACTGGGAATGAAAGTGGGTGCCAATATTCAATAAACATAAGTGATACGCTACTTTAAATTTCAAATGTCAGTTGTAAGAAAAGAAACGTGAAAATTAATTGTAAAGGATAATGTTGCTCATTCAGTGGAATACTGACATTCTTAATTTTTAATTAATTCCATTAAGTCTCAAAATGGATTCAATAAATTTGAAATTCCGTCTAGCACACATGTGGCTAATTTGATGTGCTTGAGATTATAATGTCATTCATTACTACTTCACATCTCCTGTATTTATCAGACTTCCAAATAGTTACGGATATAATTCAATAGCACAACATGGCGTGGATTTGCTGCATTGCTCTCCTTTTGAAGAAGACTTGCATTTACTGTTATATAAATGTTAGGTATGTGCTAATGTTCAGCACTTTTACGTAAATTTCTCTGCTGTACGCGTAAAATTATTTTCTAGGTGAAGCACCAATTGAAACGACGATCACCCCATTTCACGGTATGCATAGCGAGAAGGCTACTGAAGAAGTAAAAGAACATCTTCATAGATTGCAGGTTTCTCATAATACTGAAGATGTTAATGTTGGTTTTCTGAGTTGTAACGCGATGTGGACTTGTAGGAAGACACCTACATTTCAGATAAATATAAAGTCTCCAGCAGGCAGCAACTGGGTGAGATAGAGTCCGAGTCAGGCAGAGACAAGCTGTGGCATTCACCGAGAGTGTCATGCATCTCTTGAGGAGACCTTGGGAAGAAAATTAAAAAATTTCAAAATTTTAAAAAACCCAAAAATGATGGAAATTGTTTGAAAAGCGCATAAAACCAAGAATTTTTGGAAATTGTGAAAAAATAGACACCTACATTTCAGATAAATATAAAGTCTCCATCTGTTCTTAAGCCCTGAAGATGGAGACATTACGCTTCTCTGAAATTCTGACATCTACAAGTCCTAGAAAACCATAAGTAAGTTTCATTATGACAACAGGAGGGAGAATGCCGCTACTTAAGGTAGATGTAGTTGACTGCAAAGAAATTTTCATTACTGGAATTGAGATATAGGACACAACCCTTACTAGTAACAAGCGCTGAACACGAATAAGGAGAAGGGGTGTATACGGCACAGACTATGGTTCGCCTTCCGTAGAAGACCTCAGTGACAGAAGGCCAGCTTCACAGTCATACTCTGGGCATCCATCACATATGAAATGGCCCTGCACAGTCATTGGATGGGAGGATAAATAGGCCCTGCAGATGTACTGGACACGGCGTTGAAATTAAACATGCCCCACTGCCCCTGCTGGAGAATGAACACTAACTGTCCAATCCAGAGTTTGACGTCTTATGACACAAGCTAAGTTATTCTGGTTTCCTTGAACGAAGAAGATCAACAGAAAATGCTACAAGGAAGTGGAAGAAAGTGTCTGTGAATTCGGAAAGGTCACATTAATATATATCAGTGACCAAAAATAAATTCAAAATACAATAGAAAATATAAACGACATCGCTATCTTCTGGGTTGTAGCACCACAGGCAGGCAGCAACTGGGTGTGACAGAGCCTGAGTCAGGCAGAGACAGGCTGTGGCATCATTCACCGAGAGTGGCATGCATCTGCTGAGGAGACCTTGTTTAGAAAATTGAAATTTTTTAAATTTTAAAAAATCCAAAAATGATGGAAATTGTCTGAAAAGCGCATAAAACCAATAATTTTGGAAATTGTGAAAAAGAATTTGAAAGTGAAATTCTTATGACACAAGCTAAGTTATTCTGGTTTCCTTGAACGAAGAAGATCAACAGAAAATGCTACAAGGAAGTGGAAGAAAGTGTCTGTGAATTCGGAAAGGTCACATTAATATATATCAGTGACCAAAAATAAATTCAAAATACAATAGAAAATATAAACGACATCGCTATCTTCTGGGTTGTAGCACCACCGTCTGGTAGAAGTTTACCGACATTTCAGAACGTCCTTGCTACCTCTACTATCGAGAAGATCTGTTACTTCTTGACTTTACCAGACGTCTTCATTGTGTGGTGCTTACTCAGATTCAGAAAAATGTCTTCTTGGTACTTAATTTAGTACAAGTACAATTTTACTCAGCCTTTCTTTCACTTCTCAGTCTTTCTGTAGCTAACCTAACCTCACTTTAGGAAACGCTTTGTCTCTGAATGGGTGACCAATCATAATTGATGCTGGATACAATATGTGAAGCAACAAATCTAACTCCTTCAAGTGTAAGTGAAGTACACTCAAAAGAGTATTTTCTGTATTATAAGAAGTAAAAAAGTATTATCATGCAACTGGGTGTGACAGAGGCCGAGTCAGGGTGTGGCATTCACCGAGAGTGGCATTCATCTCCTGAGCAGACCTTGGGAAGAAAATTGAAAATTTTAAAAATTTTAAAAAATCGAAAAATTATGACCAATCATAATTGATGCTGGATACAATATGTGAAGCAACAAATCTAACTCCTTCAAGTGTAAGTGAAGTACACTCAAAAGAGTATTTTCTGTATTATAAGAAGTAAAAAAGTATTATCATTAAATTGTTTAAATAATTTAATAAAAATATTGGTCTTGTAATAACGACAGCCTTTTAAAACTTCAGAGAAAACATAAATGTTATAATTAAAGTTTTTATTAAACTACCCCCTAATACCATAAAAACAATAATAATAACAGTACGTAAATGTACTTTAGAAATGTGTAAAATTCTTCATTTCTACAGAGTTAAAAATGTATTACTGTAACTATTCTCTCACACTGTTCTGTAGTCCAAAATAAAAGGTTAATTTTCATGAACTTTAAAATATGAAACTTTCCTTGAAGAACTCTTCAGATTAACACAAGTTATAATTTTACCAACAAATTAAAAGATGTAAAATATTCTGTACATTACTCATTTCAATATTTTAGACCACTTTCACTGTTGTAATTGAAGGCTGTTGTATGCAACGCTTCGTTTAATTTTATTTCTTATAAAAAATCACAAATCACTTAGTGCCAACAGAAATTAATTAGCACATGCTGTCTTCAGGCAGTGGAGGATAGTTAAATACAATTTATCCTGCTAGAGAATAAGAATCAGTTCTGAATATAAACAATTTTGTTACAATACGGTTGAAATGAGAAGCATTTAATGCCTGATATTTTAAACTCATGCCCTTCGCATAGGTTTAGAAATATATTTTTTAATGTGTCTGTCAATAAAAATGTGCGGACTTCACATAATCTGCAACATAACACTTAAATAAGAATTAGTAGATTAATTGCCGTTAGTATTTTAGAATGACGACACAGAACAGCGTTACGGCAGCAACCTGAAGTTGTACAACTTAAATCTATATAATTGAGTAAAATATGGAAAACACATAGTGCAAATACGCAGTGCCATATAAAATGTTGAAAGCATGCAATATTAAACCTTTGTGTCACCCATACAAAACTTGAAGAACTTTTAATTTTCAATATAAACCAACAACTACAAAAATAGGAATCACTTATATACTGAGTGTTTTCAAATAATGTGCTGTAATAAATAGGAGTGTTTCAGGAATTAAATATGAGTCAAATAGACCAAATGTGTCATAGGTCTGGAAATGTTTCTGTAAACACGGGGGATTGCAAGGCTCGTCAAGTCATTACGATATGCAAGTGGTTGGAGGTTCATGCGATCCCTAGACAAGAGGCATTGATGACAGCATTTGTCCTAATGACCAAGAGAAATGTGCAATTACCAGGGCTCGAATTTAAAATAATGTTCAGCACCCCTTTTCACCCACAATCTGTGACGTGATGGAAGTATACATGAAGATGGCTGAGCAACATGAGAAAGGCTGTTTCGATGCGCCAGAAAGACTGGGACCATCTTCCTGTTGTCCTAAAGAGCCTTCGCCCATAAGACAACAGGCATGATGCCACCAGCACGGTGTTTGGGAGAGAGGGTCATGTCTGACACGTGACCTGTAGTTTGGGGCTCCCCCCCATTAAGAAGCAGAAGAAGGTGGTCGGTGGCAGAATAATGGCCCACTACAAATGTCTGGCTCATTCTGCAAGGTTCCAAGACCAAGTTTCGTTGTATCGCTTGACTTCGACAAGAGCAAAGTCACCTAAGATATAACCATAATGGAAAGGATCACACAAGGTGATCAACCAGATAAACGACGTAGCGTACCGGATCCTGCGATATCCAAGGGGAAAAATACAGTGGTAAGAAAAGAAAGATTGGTGACACACCTACGGACTTATCAGGATGAAGAGCCTTGAGGAAGGATTAGTGTTGTAGATGTGCAGCGAGCGTGTGTCTTGCTCCCAGCAGCCTGATTGGCCAGCCATGTGATTACAAGAGCCAGGGTGCGTACACATCTCAAAATTTCTGAAAAAACCTTGGACCTGCTCGGCTACAATCAAAGCTTTGAGAATCTCCTGCCTGTTGATGGAGAAATTGAGAAACAACTGTGTCACTCTTGAAGAGTTAAGGCGCCTTTAAACAGAGGTGAGCTAGCTGAAGGCAAATTCAGTGAAAAATGTGGAGCAATGGAATGCAGTGTGTGTGCTGGCAAGTCATGAGCTGTGAATTCAATGCTGAAGCAGTGCGGTATGAATGTAAAACGAAAAACTGTTACCAGTGTGGAGTCTGGGTAGAACAATTAATATTGTGATTTATAAACTAATAGAACTGCTGTCAAAAAAAAAAAATTAACTATAATAGTAAATAATAAATCCACATTTCAAGAGCAAAAAACTTAACGTTAATTACTTATCATAATAATAATAATACAGTACTTAAAACATGATGGTGGATATGTATTAGCTATTAATCCGATAGAAATTAAGTCTTGCAAATAATAATATTCAAATTTTAAACACATTAATACCTGAATATATTTTCTTTGCATGAAATAACACTCACTTTTACCAACGTTTTAAATAATTTGATTGATATTTTGTTCATAAGGCTTTAATATGTTATAATAAAAGAAACGTACATGATGACAAACTTTCTATTTGCCGACAAAATGTTATGTTACTAAGTAGTATTGCCTCAGGTCGGTAATAAATCTTAATTATGAAAATGTACTAATGCAATAACAACAATATTAATAACGTTAATAATTTAATTCCTTTATTAGATTTTTGCCAACGGCAAAGATCCCATGACAGGCAAACTACAAAATATAAACAACAAACAAAGAAATTAAATAAATCAAAATAAGAATAAGAACAATAATAAGGTGGCAAGACTCGCTCTCTTGATGTGGAAACAGGCACTATGGCCTAAATCCATGAAAGAAGAAAAAGAATAAATAATGTAACATAAAATTATGAACAGATAGGAAAGTCAGAGTATATATTAGAATAAGAACACACACGTGAAACAAATAATTTGGAATATCTTAATGCCATCAGCAGATGTGTCTATGTCGGACTGCAAGTGGGTGTTGACTCTGAATTTCCTGAGCGTTTAGATGATATCAGTTAGCGCTGATTAAGCCATATGACCTGTACCTCTGTCGAGAATAACACGTAAAGTGAGTCAAATCAATAATGTCTGCAATAACAAAATGTGATTCTAAGTATGTAATCATATTAAAAAATAAAATACGCAGTCCTTCACAAACCCTTCATAACATTTTATAAGGCACTATACCTTCCATGTCGCTGCATTTCGACGAAAGTAGCAGAACGTGTTTTGGAACCAGTTGTATATCTCGTTGAGCGTGAGCTGTTTGTCTGGTGATTCAATGATGGACTGAAATAGAAACAAATATATTATTAATAACCTTCGCTTCTATGGTTATTCAGCAACACTATAAAAGTCCTATATGGAATGCATAGATAACCTAGAATAAAAATATGTAAATGCATGTGGCTCACAAAAGTACGAGGCGCGTCCTCAAAGTAAGTTTCCCACTCGTCCCACAGCTAGCAAACCTTATATTGCGCGAAGCGACTGTGCGTACGTGATAGAGCAATGACGTAGCATGGCGCATGCACTAACGGCAC